TATACTTCTTGCTACCATTGCGGTCGCTCAACGCAGTGAAGATGACTTCAAGAACTGTGAGAACTGGTACCGTGACAACCAGTCTGTGCTCCCGGATCCCTCCCAATGGGAGTGGTGTGCAGAGCAGTGCCGTGAAATCCGTGAAGGACCATTGCTTCTGGTTCCAGACCCCGCTGGAGTGTATGACCATGCACTGGCCGCAGTGCAGAGAGTGAGACTGAAGGAAGGCAATCAGCCTTCCCATCAGTAGAGAGTGCGACTTAAGGTATACAATCAGCCCTCGTACTAGCGTTAGCCGTTCGCTCGGTACCAGCATATAAAGTCATTTTTGTATAGTGTGAAGACGAGATCATAAACTGCTGGGTCCCTTGGGGTGGTTTGCTAAGAGGCGTGGCCCCTCCCAATCTGCGCCAACAATCCACCAATAGGGTCCACTCTGTCTCCCCTCCCTTCACTATTCGCTGTTCATAGTATTAAGGAACTTTAGCATGAGAACTTGTTTTATACTTCTTGCTACCATTGCGGTCGCTCAACGCAGTGAAGATGACTTCAAGAACTGTGAGAACTGGTACCGTGACAACCAGTCTGTGCTCCCGGATCCCTCCCAATGGGAGTGGTGCGCAGAACAGTGCCGTGAAATCGTGAAGGACCATTGCTTCTGGTTCCAGACCCCGCTGGAGTGTATGACTATGCACTGGCCGCAGTGCAGAGAGTGAGACTGAAGGAATGCAATCAGCCCTCCCGTCAGTAGAGAGTGAGACTTAAGGTATACAATCAGCCCTCTTACTAGCGTTAGCCGCTCGCTCGGTACCAGCATATAAAGTCATTTTTGTATAGTGTGAAGACGAGATCATAAACTGCTGGGTCCCTTGGGATGGTTTGCTAGGAGGCATGGCCCCTCCCAATCTGCGCCAACAATCCACCAACAGGGTCCACTCTGTCTCCCCTCCTTTCACTATCCGCTGTTCATAGTATTAAGGAACTATAGCATGAGACCTTGTTTTATACTTCTTGCTACCATTGCGGTCGCTCAACGCAGTGAAGATGACTTCAAGAACTGTGAGAACTGGTACCGTGACAACCAGTCTGTGCTCCCGGATCCCTCCCAATGGGAGTGGTGCGCAGAGCAGTGCCGTGAAATCGTGAAGGACCATTGCTTCTGGTTCCAGACCCCGCTGGAGTGTATGACCATGCACTGGCCGCAGTGCAGA